CTTTACGTCGAGCTACGGGTAGGGTGATTGCTCAGCGACTGGAGGATCATGTCTTTTTGATTCATGGTATACCTCAAACCGTGATCTCCGATAACGGATCGCAATTTGTAAGCCATGAACTTCAATCTTTGTATGCCAAATATAATATACCACAAGTCCATTTGGGTCCTGTGTATTGCCCTCAGGTTAACACTGTCGAACGTTATAACCGTACTGTCATCACTGCGGTGGCCTCGTTCGTTGAAAATGACCATAGATCTTGGGACGTGAATATTCATAAGATCCAGTTCGCTATGAACACCTCTGTGAACGAATCCACGTCATATACTCCGTTTATGTTAGTTCATGGTAGGGAGGCTGTGACCGATGGTAGTATTTATGCCGGTTTCAACGATCTTGACGAGTTAGTGATAGTACCCCGGGATACTCATGCGTCTAATCTGGGTCATTTAGGTGAAATCTTTAAAGAGGTCAAGGACTCACTGCGAAAAGCCCACGATAGGAACGTTAAATATTATAACAGGCGTCGTAGGGATATTTCCTTTAACGTAGGCGATTACATTTGGAAACGGACGTATAAACAAAGCGCGGCTCATAAATACTTTTCAGTCAAACTTGCACCGAAATATGAACGTTGCAAAATAATCCGTAAACTCTCCCCACTCGTTTACGAGCTCGAAGACGAAAACGGGAAGTATGTAGGCAAATGGCATATAAAAGATTTCAAAAGCGCTGACCCCGAATAGATATTTAGGTAGGGACTTATCGCCGTGGATGTGGCGGCCGACGAATACCCATTCCGCCTTCTGCCCGGCGTGACGTAGAAATCGTCAATGGGTCTTGGTATCACCCTGCATCTTAGATACCCATGTGTGTGTTCGTCTCCGATAGTGTGATCTCTTTGTTTGCCACCGAATTAATGCTTAAACACTTAATTGTCTCTTAACTTTTCCAGGAGAACATTTTGTTAATGTGCTTGTTAGTTTTTTTACCTACCAAGGCATTTTATTGAAGTTGCTAATACAAATGAAAACGTATTAACAACAACTTTTATCATAATATCCTATGATGAGCATAGAATATTTATGATATTTTTTTTATTTCTCTCGGGAGACAGTAAATGAGACACACGATGGACGAACGCACAACATGTAATTTTGTGAGCAAATCGCCTTTGACCAATAACATCTCTTTGGTTAATTTTCTACCATTATGTTTTTCGCGGTATAACTGGTAACATTATAATTATTTTTTTTTATTATATCTATTTTCGGAGCAAAGATGCTTGCGGTACGGCCTTGAGTGGTATACACTTTGTGTTACTATTGTCATTCATTATTATCTATTTTTGTTGCAACTTAGAGATTTATCAATGATTTATCGTTCTGTATGTTTATTTTTTCTTAACTTAGCGGTTTATAATATTCTATTATTTTATACAACATAACCTAATCATATCTTAACTAAAGTACGTAAGACATGGGGATATACGAACGAGGGCGTTCGACGAATTCCCTACGTGAATTCTGCCGTGAGTGGGGGGATACTGTAGTGTTTGTTTTTAAACCGAGCGTGACACTGACACACGTAGGACAGCTGTTTGGTCTATGATAGCGAACCGCTTACGTCAACGTAGCTGTCAAACTTCATTGATTGGGTTGGTAGCCTTGAGGGAAGAGTCGATTTTCCTATTCGACTAAAATATTCGCCTTGAGACTTAAAAAAAAAAAAAAAAAAAAAAAAAAAAGTAATCAGGCTGGGAATCTCTGTGGGGGCGCGTGGATGAATGGATGGAGTTTGACAGTTGTTGAATTTTGAATAGTCTTTCCCAGATCGATTTGAGTCCTCCTTATCGGGTGCTGTTTTTAATCGATTTTGAATTTTACTCGAAATTGAATTTCCTCGCTGATTCGGGTAGGTATTCCCTTTTCCTCAGCTTACGGCGAGCGTAGGTATATAGTTTTGAGTTTATTCTTCGGTTCGTCTCGAATGCGGCGGCTGTCTGTTTGACTGTGGCCTTTGCCTTCAGTTGAAGTGGGAAACAAATCATAGACACATGTTTGGGAGTAGCCGATCCGTCTATCATCTATGAGCAATTGTCAAAACAACTTTTAAAATTTCACAATCTGTTTGTGGTACAGTTAACTTTTCATCTTTTCTTCTGCCCAAAGTATAATAAACGGCATATTATTGTCGTCGAAGTCGTGAGATAGATCCGAAAAGTTTATATCCCGAAGGATATTGGCGGAAAAAGCGCGGAGTCGCTAACCGAACTGAGTTTCGTAGGTGGACGAACACGAACCTTCGCAAGGCAATTGCAACAATAAGGCGGTAACTCGTGATAGGAAACAAAATACTTACGGATAGTTTCATATTTCGAACGGCTTGTACGTTCCCCTCAAGAAATACTGGAGGACTAACAAGGAGACTTTTGTTCTGTGCACGGACCAGAAGGGGCGCGGGAGTTTATTTGCCAGCCGCTCTCCGGTTTTATGTAACCCGGCCGAACAGCAGACAGATTATACACAGCTTAACCTATCATAGTCAAGGTATTTCTCTACTAACCCCGGGTGAACGTGAAAAGGAAACAACAGGCGAGGTTGGACCCCGACTTACCCATTTCCATATATTTACATATATCTATATAGCTGGTTATCTCACTGAGAACTAGAATTAACTAAGTTTGTCACCAATATCGATCAAACGAGCCGTAGAACCTCTGAAATCCACTCAATAGCTTATTCAGTCTAGTCTATGTGGTATTTGTGGATAAAATATATTAGTAAGGATTATATTGTAAGTACATGGTAAAGTGTTATGAATGTTTGATATTCATATAATTATAACCTTTCATGACAACTTGTTGGTTTATATACACATTAACTTTGAACTACTGTATTCAGCTTAGATATTTATAATTAGTGAAACATAGTTATTATATAAATAATAAACATAGTTAGACTTGTTGATTTATATAAGCAATAACTTAAATCTACTGAAGTCCTAGGCTTTGGTATCTAAAGTGGATAAAATATACTTATAACATTATCTTAATTTTTTGGTTTTCTTTTATTGTTCCCCCGGTGCTCTGAGTGGGCTAAAGGAGGGCTGTTGAAGAGAATTTAACATCACAGTGCGCTGAATGTAACTTTTTGTGTAGTAATAACCAATTTAGTAGTGCCAATTAATGGCATGATGTAACAACACTATTAGGTACTATTCGCATTTGCATAATTTGTTCAATACAATTTATGGTTTATATTCGTGCTTCGGAAGGCACGTTAAGCCGTTGGTCCCGGTTGCATCTGCAGTCGTTAGCACCCACCAATCCGGACTGGGCCAGCGTGGTGGGTCATGGCCCAATCTCCCTATTCCATCCATAGGGTAGGCCTGTGCCCCAGCAGTGGGGACATTTATAGGCTGATAATGATGACGATTCTTGGGGGTCTTTGTGTTTGTATCGAGCAAGCATAATCTTTTGTCCGTGATCAGATTATCAAAAAAAAAATTAAACAAAAAACAAAACCGACTTCAAAATCGGAAATGGAACTAAAAAGTAAAAAAAAAATGGTTGCCTGTAAAGTCGGTTTTACGGGCGAAGATTTTACGTGACAACGTCTTTTTCTCGGTAGAATATTTATTGATATGAATATAATTAAATTGCACAACAGGAACAAGGAATTGAATGAAAATAAGAATTGCACAAATTTTAACTATAGAAATATATTTTGTTTACTAAAACATTGTACATGTAAACTTAAACTTAACACGAGAGACTCATCGTAACGTTACCGAGCGTTACACTTTTTCATAAGTGACTCCCAGCCGCAACCTAATTTAAGACGTTGTCACGTCAAAAATAATATCTGGTACATGATTTGGAGTTCGGTTTTATTTTTTGTTTAAATTTATTTTATTTTATCCATTTTAGTGAAAATTACGTCGTCTAAGTAAACAAGCACACAATTGACGGAGAAATCGGTGAACATACATAAAAAACATAAAGCGTGCCTTTGAAATTTGAAGGTTTCCCTCGATTTCCGGATCCGAACCTATCGAAATTTCCCTAAGCAGAAACTCAGATTTATTAAAAAGCAAAAAAAAAACAAGTTTTGTGTTTTTGTCATATTAGTTTTTAAAATATTTGATTCTTCAATAAAAAATTTGATCATTTTTCAAAGACAAAATCTATCGAGAAAATTTTCGATAATCATGTTTATGGGCTAGTAAAACTTTAGCTTAGAAACTGAAGATATACATATATAAAAATCACATTTACAGCATCTATATAGGTATTCTATTAACAGCGTCAAAAAGGATGACTACCTACAGCGCTTTAAGCGCGTCAAAGTTTGGGTGTGGTGGGACATTCAAATCAATATACGACTCAAAATTACTTACAATAATCGGTATTAAAAAAGTTTACTATTTTTGCTCTTCAGTTTCTGTCAGTGGTTTAAATTTTCTAGTACTTTTTTTTATTTCATAATTTTTCGTGGTTATAATTTTGATTGAGCATTGAAATCTATGAGTGAAAAATCACCCCCGTTTTTCCAAATAGATCAATACCAACTTAGAGGAAAACCCTGTCCAATAAAAAAATTATTATCAAAATCAGACTGCTATGTAAATGTTAGCGTGGTCATACATTGCAATCAATGAGTGAACCATCAATCACCCCTGTTTTCTGGTCTTGGTTGGACTGTTATCCTTATTTATATAGGACTAACTTTGGGGTATACCCTTTCCAATAAAAAAAGGAAATATCAAAATCTGACTACTCAGTAAAAAGTTTGAATATTAATTTCAGCAATACTAGTTACAATTACGTGGGTAATATGTATGCTATGAAAATAATAAAAGAAATTACAAAATATTTTGTTGGATAGGAGCATGTTATTTCCTGTTCGATAGGAGCATGCTATTTCCGCAATTGGAGAAAATTATACATGGGTACCTGTGTGCTACTATGAGACATGCGCGGGCGCAGTGAACCGCGGCAGATAATAAAATACCCGTGCTGTAGCCGCGGTTGTTTGTTGTGTCGTAATCGGACCAGTGGCGTGGGGCCTGAGCAGCATGGTCGCCATCACCATACTGTGCCAGCGCGCCGACTCGCGAGCACGTTCGCGCCAATTTTTGACAGCTGTCAAACCGAATACGTTACGCGAGTGCTTAGAAACTTTTTTCGCGGTCGAAAAAAAGAATAATTCGCGTTTCGTTCGTGTTTTGAAATAGTTATCGGTGAGTTTTAAAGAAATAAAAGCAGCGAGTTTATTTTGATTGTGCTACTGTTCCGAGTTCCAACGTCCTTGTAAATGTTACCCAGTTATGATATTATTAAAAGTGAATGGCTGTTTGTTTTAATTGCGCGGTTTCTGGTCTTCTGAGAGAAGCACGTTTACGAGATAATATATATAAAAATACTTGTGTAATGAGTCAAAATTATTATTTCACGATAGTGTAAAAGGACAATATCGTAATAAGATCGCCTTATTCCAAAGCGCGGACTAATTTAAGTCTTGGTTTGATTTTAACCAGACAGATATTGTCTCCGTCTTCTTCTTAGCAAATAAAAGTGACAGCATCGGTTTAAGTTCAGGTTTAACTTTAGTCTAGGTTTTGTATTAAGGCGGCTTGTCTCTATTTACCTTAGATAATGAGAATGGATCTTTAAAATTTTGTTTAGTGTATGACAATATTAAAGTAGGAAAAGGATATCTTTAAAATAAAAATATCATTCCTTTAAACAAGGCATTTTCTAATCCAGTTGTAGGAAATGATGCGACTTAACGTTAGCTTGAGGTAAATGCACTCTTATCTCGACAATATTATGCAAACAGAAATGCCAGTTTGCCCGTGCACTGATATTTCTTCCTACATTTATTTATACTTACAGGTTTATCAGTGTTAGTATCCTGTATCCTCTATCATATGTATACTTTTACTAAAAAAAAATCCACTCGGACCAGGCAGCGGACGGGACTCGAACCCGCACCCTTCGCAATCCGGGCGAATGCACTGACCAATTATGCTACCACGGCGCTGATGGCCGCGTCGAAATTTCTTCTCCATCTCTTCGCATTGTAGGTAACCCACAATGTGAAATAAATACTTTTTCAAGTATTAAACATTTGAAAGAAGAAAGGCTAGGAAAATTTCGACGCGGCCATCAGGGCCGTGGTACCATAATTGGTCAGTGAATTCGCCCGGATTGCGAAGGATGCGGGTCCGAGTCTCGTCCGCTGCCTGGTCCGCGTGGATTTTTTCTAGTAAAACTTTTCTTTAGATTTAAACATCTAGCAGTTAAATGCTTAAAAAATAAAAACATAATTATGTATACTTGTAAAAGTGAAACTGTCCTATATCTGATTCGTTATCTCCATTCTGCTGCATTCTTTTGATAGTTGCTGTGACAATGTAGTGAGTAGCATGAAAGTAACAATAGTGCGAAATCCTCGAAAAATGTACTTTGAATTATAATTTAATTTTTAAGCAAGTAACTGTTCGATGTTTAAATCTAAAAAAAAATATTACTTGAAAAATCCACGCGGACCAGGCAGCAGACGGGACTCGAACCCGCACCCTTCGCTATCCGGACGAATGCACTGACACAGATACAATGCATTCGCTCGGACAGCTAGAGGTAACAGACAGACAGACACGATTTCGCATTTATAATATGAATATGGATATGCCCATCTTTCTTTTTAAAGCAGTTCGATAGCGCAGTGTTTTGCGTAAGTGCAGTAACTTTCAATAGGATTAGTGGCCAAAATAGGATTAGTGACCAAAATAAGATTAGTGACCAAAATAGGATTAGTGACCAAAATAGGATTAGTGGCCAAAATAGGATTAGTGACCAAAATAGGATTAGTGACCAAAATAGGATTAGTGGCCAAAATAGGATTAGTGGCCAAAATAGGATTAGTGACCAAAATAAGATTAGTGACCAAAATAAGATTAGTGACGAAAATTTGATTATCTTGAGCTATTGGTCCCGGTTGCCTTTGCAGGCTGGACAAACCAACGCATATTGGATCCGCGTGGTATGTCACGTCACAATCTGTTCTGCCTTTTCCATCCATATGGAAAGGCTAAATCCACATTGAATCGATGATACACGTCTTTCTCGAGGAGGAGGAGGAGCTCGATGGCGCAACTGGTTAGCGCGTTCCGCTGCGATCGTTGAAGTTAAGCAACTTTCGCAGTGGTCGGTCATTGGATGGGTGACCGAAAATTTACTATCTCGAGCTCCTCCGTGCTTCGGAAGGCACGTTAAGCCGTTGGTCCCGGTTGCATCTGCAGTCGTTAGCACCCAGCAAACCACACTGGGCCCGCGTGGTGGGTCATGGCCTATCTATATATATCAATCTCCCTATTCCATCCATAGGGAAGGCCTGTGCCCCAGCAGTGGGAACATTAATAGGCTGAGGATGATGATGGTGATGATGATAACACGTCTTTCACACGTCAGGGTAGTAAATGCCGATCCAACCCAATTCCCCACAGCTCGGAACTCTAGCAATCTATAAATTCGACATAAACACAAAATTTTTACACGAACCCGTTAAGTTCGTAATCATAGACCGGCCTCCACGTAATGTACGGCTATCTACCTTAACAAGTCAGCCAGTTAATGTGTTAAGCTGATGATGCGTGCATGCGAGCATCTCTCATCATCACGCAATCGGATAATAAGTACAAAAACAAGACTTGATCTGTTTCGCTTCGCCAGGCCGCGAAACGATATATAACGGTTCGAGGGGAAAAAAGGAACGCAAAATTTCAAAACCAGTTCAGTTAATCTATTTGATAAGGAATGCCAGTAGTATTAACATATATATAATAACTAGCGGCCCGCCCTCGCTTCGCTTCGGTGTAGAGATGAAGTGTAGACTACAGTTTTTGTTCTCAGGCTTGTATTATACACAATGACATTCATCTATGATTCTTCTTATTCAAAGCAAACCTTCATGCAAAGTCTCAGCCCGATCGGTTTAAAATTGACAAAGTATCATACAAACTTTCATTCCCTATTTTATCCCCTTGGGGGTAGAATTGATTAAAATCCTTTCATAGCGGATGCCTACGTCATATCATCTACCTGCATGCCAAATTTCAACCCGATCCATCCAGTGGTTTGGGCTGTGCGTTGATAGATCACTATGTCAGTCAGTCAGTCAGTTTGAGTTTTATATATATAGATAACCCTCTATGCTGTTTGCAGAATGTTTCGGTCTACCAAAATAAAATAAGTGAATTTAAAAAATGAGCTAACATCTTTTCTCACTTCTAGATAACAAAAAAAGCTGTAAAATAAAAAATAAGATTTATACTCTATTCTCGAAGTAAAATTATACACTAAATTTAAATTTATAAACGCTTCCTAAAATTTGATAACATGGACCGATATGTTAAGTACACATTGATAAGAAAATCACAGATTACCTATCTTAGTTACAATGCAAATAAAACTATGTTCTGTGATTATTTTGTGTAATGCAGTGTTCGATCTACCACTAAAATAATATAGAACTTTTTGTTTTAAAGATATTTATAAATCACACTAATATTATAAAGCCGAAAGTTTGTGAGTGTGTGAGTATGTGAATGTGTATGTTTGTTACTTCTTCACGTCTAAACGGCTGGATCGATTTTAATAAAATTTTGTATGGAGTTAGCTGGCACTCTGGATTCACACATAGGCTACTTTTATCCCGAAAAAATGTTAGGTTCCAGAGGGATTTTCAAGAAACTAAGTTAACGCAGACAGAGTCGCGGGCGACCTCTAGTTGGTTCATAAATTAAAATTTTTATGTTGATTACACACAGGTCCTTTTATTGAAGTAATATAGAACCAAATTTTATTGATATTAAATATTTATTAATATTTTTTTAACAACATTTATATTTACATATTGTGTGTTTTGCTCCATACACATTAATATTAAATTACTACATTCAGATGATAAAAAAGTGCATCGAATGACTAGGTAGATTCTATAGGGACAAAAGTGGGTGTTGATGTAATGGCAAAACCCAGGAACAGGTTTCACAGTGGATTGTGACACCTTCGCCTTGTCTTGTCTTACCGGTCGGTTGTACAATTAAAATTGTTTACCTGAACATGGTTATAAACATTCAATAAAAGTTACGCGAGTGTATTATCAATGCAATAATAAAAAAAAGAATTGCAGATAGTTCACCTGAATTGGGACGTCCTTCTTTTAAAATAAATGTATCTGTAAGGTAAAAACCTTATACACATGTAAACACTAAAGTAAAAACTAGACTTGCAACGAATATTCGGTTACTATTCGGTATTCGGCCTATTCGGCTGCTTTTATTATATTCGGCCGAATACCGAATCTTTATATATATAATTCTTCTGTGAGTGTGTATGTCACTGAACTTCTCTTGAACGACTGGACCGATTTTGATGAAATTTTTTGTGTGTGTTCAAGGGGATCTGAGAATGGTTTAGATTCACAATTTTGTCCGCTGGACAACCCCTATTTTTTTAGGGCGGTACGAAGTTCGCTGGGTCAGCTAGTATCTATATATTATTCGGCCGAATACCGAATATTTAAGGCCTCAGGAGTCAGGGGTCTCGCCGAATATTCGGTATACTGCCGAATATACTATTCGTTGCAAGTCTAGTTAAAACCATTACTTTTTGATGCACAAATCTACATGCTTATAGATGATTCCGGCCTGATTTCCAGCAATAGTTCTTGAGCTGGTGCATTCTACCATTATTTTTAGCTTACAGTCTCGCATAGGAGAACCAATGCTAACATGAGATTAGACCAGCCAGACCACCTGCAATAATTCCAGCAGGTACATTCTGTTTTCCTTAAATTTTCAAGCAGGTGCATTCTACGTTTTCGTTAATTTTCGTTAAATGTAAACTGTGGAATTCCTTGCCTGAGCCCTTGTTCCCCGAACACTACAATCTAGCGGTCTTCAAAGCAAGAGTGAACCGGTTTTTATTGGGTAAGCGCGCTCCATCGTAGACCATAATATTGCTTTCCATCAGGCGAATTATGGTCAAGCGCTTACCTATTACCGAATAAAAAAATAAAAAAGACTCTTTGATGGATTATTCTGGATTTCTAATGTTCCACGGGGTGGGGATGTGGTCAGGGTAGGTGGGGCAAAAAACTATTGAGGTTCTGCTTCACTGCCGCATCATCTATCGTTCATCATCATCATCATCAGCCTATTAATGTCCCCACTGC